GGTACTGAGTTGCTGGCTGGGACTAAACCACGACAAAGGGGCATCGGTATTAGCAGCTCCTGCAGAACAGCTTTGTAGACCGTCTGGTTTCAAAATGAGGTGTTGTAACAAGACGCTCTTTGAGCATCTGATACAACAGTAGATGCCGGTTCAGTAGCTTTGGTTCCTATCATCACCAGACACTAGAGCCATTTGTTTTGCTTGTTTCTTACTTGTGATTTTAGTATATCCATCAGGTCCCTTAGTTGGTCTTTCTTTGTATGTGGTAGCACCTGTACAAAAGTAAAATAACAAAATGAGATGTTTTGTTCTGTTAACAGGAGATTGAATTATGTTTTATTCTAGTAGGAAAAGAATCGCTCCCTGAACTCTGAAAACAGTTGTTTAGTGCTTGTTCAGTAGGTGTCCAGCAGTAAAGACTATTGTTTTTTGCATGTTAAAGCTCCTGCTCCTCTTCAGAGCGATGATAAAATGCCTTCAACTAAGGCAGTCAGACCAAGCATGGGAAATACAGCACACTTAAGAAACACAAAAGCTGCTTATGGGTGTGTTTATATGAAGTATGAGTTCCATACTGTTTGCACTCCTTGGCACATGTACTGAGGTCATTTATGGCACACTTTAATTCAGTCCCCACCCAATGTTGTCTTAATGAGCCAGCTGGGAGGTAGTGAGACTAGCGTGGAAAACTCCTAAGTTGCCAGTGGGACACCAATTGTCTGCTTTGTAGCAGCTCTTTGGAAAGCTAGAAATAAATGCCTTGAAGTGGTGGGATTTACTGAAGCGTGGGGAGGGGGGGACTGTTAATTGTGTTAACAGATGAACAAGTAAAATGCATCTGAATTGTGGAAGAGCTTACAATAAAAGTAGTGACATCCATCCCAGCTGCTTTGCAACTTGGGATAATAGCTCCCAGTTGCATTGATATTTCATTAAAAAAAATATAGTTCTTGTATAAAAGAGGAAACCAGCAAGAATTCTAACAAACAGTTAAGTTTGGGGTGACTTTCTACAAAAAAATAGCTGGATGAGTATTCTTCCGTAGACTAGCAGGATATTTCATAGCAGGAGATTAAGCCTGTAGGACAGTGATAGAAATTCTGATATGTAATATTTTTGTCATTGCTGTTTAGATTAATTCAAGATTTCTATTCTCTCTTTCTTCCCTCACATCTAGCAAAACTGTACAATCTAAAGTGGACTGCATTTTGGTAAGTACAACTCCAGAATGCTTTTTAATATTTAATAAACTGCAAGACCAAAATAGATGGCTCTGGAGACTGACAGCTATTATGAAGCCTTTCCTTAGCAGTGCTTTAAGGTACTACTACTAAATGTGATCAAAATTAGTTCCCATTGTCAGAAAAATACATGCTGTGGGTTTGGTGTTTGTTTTCTGTGGAAGTATTGACCTTGTTGCCAGCAGCAAGTGGCCGTGATTGCCACTTGTAGACCTGTCAGTATAGATACAGCACAGAAAGGTGACTTACTGCTTTTGTAAGCATGATTTTATTAAATGCGAGATTATGTATTGCACAAATCGGAGTATGCAAAAGGCTAATTGTACCTTCAAGTTCGATTGCTCTTTAGGCCTTTAATGACAATGATTATTGCTTTTGTTGTTGTTTCCTTGAAACGGTTAATTTATGGCTGGTACTACATTTTAAGGAAGGAGCTAGACTGAACTGCATATTTGCAGAAAACATGGCAGACTAATATCCTGGTCTCTGAAGATCTTGCAGGTGTCATAATTATCAGATTTTTGGTTTGGTTCTTGCTAACTTCAAAAGCTGCGTACCATCTCGGGTACCTTCCCAGAAATGTGCAACACTACAGGTCCTGTTAGCTCTGCTGCAATACTAAGGACAGAGAGATAGTATCTTTTTTTGAAGAAGGAAAGCCCTTGAAATGCATAAACATCATCTTCCTTTGTGCATTAAAATAACAGGATCTAGACAGTGAGAAGAGATTATTTCTGGGAAGCAAATATCTAACACTAACTCAGAAAGAGGTTTTACTTGTTTGTTTTTAATAGTAAGCAGGTAGTTTCTTTAAATCAGAGACTGAGTTCATTAATCTTAAGACTGGAAGGGACTGCTTATTTTGACTTTCTACCTTCGGCATTTCATCCAGAAGTACCAGCGGGTAAGATAAAAGGATGACATAGACAGCCATCTGGGTACTATCAAATAGAATCTGCTCAGCTGTATGGCTGAGCTAAATAAGAATACTTCTTAGAGTCACATTATCCAAGGCTAATGCAGATGGCACTGAATTCTCTTTCCTTAAAATGTTGTCTTAATTTATTGTGGTAAGAGGTTTAAAGTAAGCTGTATTGTTGTACTGCAGACAAGCTTTGGACCCAGTTGTGCCTATGCTTAAAAATTCTTGGACGTATCCAACTAAAATGGTGATGTAAAACGTAATTTTTGTCCACTTTGTGCCTCATTGACATTCATGGACACAAAGCAGGTGTGTCAAGATCTTAATTTTTTTGTATGTGAGTCTTCAGTGGCAAAAGGGCAAACTGCACTTGTAAAACTCTTTTAACACCAGGCTTTTGTGTGGTGAAAAATTGAAAGTGGGGTAGGTGTTCCTAAGTAGCATCAGAGAGGGAGTGAATAAGTAGGAGGTTAACTGGTCATCTGCTTCTTGGAAATCCATTTAAAAAGAAATGGAGTTACACCAGGACTATTCTTGCGTTAAATTCTGCAGATTTGCAGACTTAGGGTACTGAGGTGTAGGGATTATCAGTTTGTATGAGCCCATTCATTTGTGTAGGTCTCATCCATTGCACAGACAAGCTATTTTTCTGAATAATGCTCTTGGACGCAAAGCAGTCTCCATAGCTTGACTTGGAACAGAGCAGCAGCGTCCTGATGGTCTAATTTTCTGTTCCAGATGCCTCCTTGTCTGTCCTGCTGATGAGTTCAGAGGAGTCCTGTCAACAGTGGAAAGGCCATTCTAGGTTAGCAAAGGTGGCTCTAATGCTGTTCAGGTAGTTTAAAAAATAAAAACCCAAGATCAGAATAGTTCCAGGAAATAAAAATTAAGCTGAATTCTGGCAAAATGGTTTCTGCATTTTTACGTGCTTTTGGAAAGCTGTGAGCTGCAAGACAGAATCTAAAAGTAAACTAAAAAGCCGTGACTGTATAGCTCCAAATAACTTGTTTGGAGCTTCCTTGCAGGCCTGTCTCGTTTTGTCCTGTAGCAGGTAGATGAGCAGGTTGCCTCTTGGGTGAAATGTCTATGGATTTGTCAGAGCGGTCCTGTGATTGGGGTACCAGCTGCCTGCAGAGAGTCTGATTCCAAGCTTATGGGCAGGTCAGAACATTTCCTTTAAGTGCACGTTCTTACACGTTTGGTTCAAAGAGAAACCTTTTCAGGACCTTTGGATCGGTCTCATGAAGCATAAAGGGACGATGTCTGTCCCTTGTCTCCCTTCTTACTGTAAGGAGGAGATCTGGGACTAGCTTTCAGTTATATTGGGAGGTGCTGATGATACCTTAAAGCAGTTAAGCTTGATCAGTTTGCTAGCAATCTTAAAAGAATAGAGACCAGTAGAGAAAAGTAAGACTGTGCTTGTTGCCATTTCTGTTTGGTAGCACCAGTCACGGCTGCAGCGCGCAGTGCTGCGCACAAATGCTCTTCAGCGCATAGACTGCCTAGTTCAACACAGGATAGCAAGAGAGAGAGAAATAGGAAGAAGAAACAGAGGCGATAGCAATAGTCTTTGTTGTGGAGGTAGCTAGCAGCACAGGAGTATAGGAAAACAGCTAGTACAAGGGCACTAGGACTGCAATTACTCAAACGAGAGACCAAAGTTATCTGCCTTTTACTTGTTATACTGCACCGCTTAACGTTCTGACACACTGTCAGTTTCTGGAAGATCATAAGAAAATCATTGTATGCTGTGCAATCCAAAAAAGATAATTAGCAAGAATTGTGGTGTAAACAGCCATTAAAAATTCATTATAACATCTTTTTAACTGTAGCAAACATGTCTAGCAGTAGATTCTCTTATGACTTTGCTTGTTATATTTTTGCCACATACTAAGTGAACTCTTGAACCTGATTTTTAAAAGGGTATGCGCCATATAATCGCTCAGCAAGAAGGTTAAGGTTTCTTTTCTTAGTCCTCTGAGAAGAGGTCAGTGCTGGTGAGAGAGTGCTGGAGCGATGGCCATGAAAACCAAAGTTGCTGCTGGCTGGAGCAGTTACAGCGTGGGCAGCAGCAGTGTATAATGTTGAAGCAATGTGCCTTGGTCCTGCTGCGGAGAAGGTGGTAGCTTGTCACTTGTCTTTTTGGCCCTACAGGAGACAGGCAAAAGCTCTGTGAAGCTTTGGCAGCTGTGCTTGGACACTGTCAGTGCAAAGCTGCCATGTGTTTTTTAGGGCTTGTTTGGAATATTTAGCACCTGAAATATGTTTCTGCTTCTGTTCAGATAAAGCATATAAAATGTATTTATTAGCAGCTTTTTAGAATAATAGGTTCCATTTCAAGTATTAGCTGTTTTCTGTCTTGATTATATTTCCAAAAAAACATCTGACCTTGAGCAACTTATTTAACCTTTGCTGCTTGTTTCTCTATTCACAAAGTGGGGAGATGATTGCTTGACTACTTTGCTATTCTTAGTCTGGTTGTTAAATAATAGATGTTTGTTCTGCTGAAGTATGACAAGTTTTAGAACCAGTCTGCCAGTGGGTGCAAGTTACCTTGCCATTGACATAGCCTTTTTCACTTCAATTAGAATATAGTTATCTATAAATACCCAAAATGCGAAAAGAATATTAAGATCAGTCCATGCTCTCTAAAATAGTAGTCTTGCAAAAAGGTTGCAGCAGTGCTCCTGGCCTTCTGCTCCTCTTCACCAGAACTCGAGGACAGAAATAACCTGTAATTCTGCCTCCATTGTGGAAATAGGAAATAGTTCAAATTTGAATGCCATTTTTCACTGTGGTCATTAGAGAAGTTGTAATTCTTCTAATTGTTCCTTAGTATATTCTTCCTCTATCTTAGTTAAAGTCTGGCCTGACTAAATACTTTCTTCTCTTAAATAACCCAGGGAAAGCACATTCCCTGGAATTTTCCCATGATAATCCCTTTTGAAAACTTTAGGATGAAACTTCACTAATGTTTGTGACCTGACAGTACATCAGCCGTCAGAGAAAGCCAGATAGAGAGAGCCAATCCACCAAGGTCAGGAAACCTTGAATGATATTCTGTGATTCTGGAGACTCACTTTCAAATCTCTAGGTTTTCTGGTTCAAGCAGGAACGTGAATAACTCATGTTTCCTATAACGCAGATTAAGTCCTTAACCACGTTCTGTGTTGAACTGATCTTTGTGTCTCTGTGCTGTGAAAAGTTTCAGTGTCTAGTTAGTGTCTCTCAGAATGGAACCAGATGTCAAAACCTCCTATTTTCTTTTTTTTTTTTAAAAAAAAAAAACAAACCCACAACGTTTGGCCATCCTGGTTTATTTCACAGCTGTTTATTTGGTCATTCAAAATGCCTGTTAGAATGAAAAAGAAAGTTGCTTCTGTTCCAAAGAGATCCTTGATCTGTGTCTGTCTTAAGCAGCAGAAGGACAGATTCATTTGGAGCAGATTTATGTGGCCACTGATACCACAAATATAAATGGATCTCTGGTTTAATTTGTTTGGTACATATTTTGTGCATTTCTTTATTTGGTAACTGTCAAAACACAAAGCAGCAGAAATCTCTGATATTTTTATGTTACTGAAAGTCTTTGCTTAGCTGTGACTTGAGGTTTCTAATTCTTTGTCCTTAGTTTTTCTGTCTCAGAATGTAAGATCACTCAGATATTTTGAGTACTTGATATATTTTTTGGCTAAATTGAAGTCAAGTTGTGAAAATAAGCATGAACACTGCTTGCTCCCCATCTTCACCGAATCTTCCTTTATTTAATGTGGTTCCAGTTGCAGGAGATAAATACAACGTGTGAAAACCAAGAGTAACAGAGGTGATGCTTTGTGATGGCTTTACACCTCAGTCCTGCGAGCAGTTTAGCATGCTTATGCATTTTTCTAATGCAGTTTCAAGAAATACAGTTTATAAATAGCCTTTGGAGAATTAGTCTTTGTTTAATTTGATAGAACCAGTCAATCAAGGTCAGGAAACTTCAAGCAAAAAGAAAAAGTTTTTTACTTAGATCCTTTTAAGTAGCGGAAGAGGATTCCCCAGACATTTTACATTCTGTATGGGTTTTAAAACTACCGTAGCAGAAGCTTTAACGGGCTATGCAAAGGGGAATTTGTCCAAGATGATGCCAGCATCGCATCTTCCTTTCAATGCTGTGACTCTTTTCCACACTATTGACCTATTTTGGGTGGGGTGGTGGAGAAAATTTATAGTATATTTTGTGTTCTTGTTTCTTTTTATTCATTTCCGCATGCATCCAACGTAGCACAAAGATTCATTCATCTTGAGTTTTTCTTCTTGGTCAGTGGTCAGTAGGCCAGCTGAAATGTTCCTCCACTTTCCCAAATCCTTTTCTCATTGCATTAAGAAATTTGAAAGTTTTGATACTTTGAACAGTGCAGTAACAGAGTTATTACTGAATTCACCAGCCCTTATCACTGAGAACTGGTGGATGTCAGCTGAGGTTGAAGAAGAGATTGTACTTACTGAGGTTGTAAACTTGAGTTTTTAGAGTTTTAGAAATGTTTAGAGAAAGCAGCCTGAACCAAACACAATGTTTAACATTTTTAAACTAAACAAAACATGATGTTTCCTGCATCTGCTTGCACTGACTGTCACACTCCATCCCTTTGCTGCCACTTCTTCAGTTTTAAGATGATTTTCTCTAAATAGATTCAGTCTCATCTAATAAGCTTAGGTTTATCTAATTATCACCCAGGTAGGATTACCTCCATGAACTGCCTGTGACTCCTGGCTGAGCGTTAACTCTCCTGTTTCGAGGAGGTCCTGCAGGCTGCGAGCTGGAGGAGTTGTGCAGAAGGTGCTGCCCGGGGAGGAGTGGGTTTTGAGAGAAAACAGTGAGATAACATCACCCTCCAGCTGCTTCTGCTGAGGATGGGAGAAAGCCATAATCCTCAGCTGCCTCAGTTCTAGGGATGCAGTTTTGCTGATGAGAGAGTCACTAGCTTGCTTGCATCCTTTGGAAAAGGCTCTGCTAACGTAACCCCAGTCAAATTTCTTCTCTACACGTGTTATGGCTGGGTTTTTTGTTGGGTTTGACTCTGTGTACCAGAGCCTCCATGGCTCAGGCAGGGCCCTTCCACACAGCCCCTTCCTTCTGCCAGGACACAGAATTTGCTTCAGCTGCAGCGGGCACTGAGACCGCTTCAGTATTTTTTGATGAAAAGTTTAACGTTTCTTCTAAAAACCTTGCCCTTTATGTTGCGCTCTGGCACATTAGATTTGGAAGTGAGAGGTTGTCTTCCACCTTGGTGTCAGAGTCAGCAGGAGGTTTTTTTGTTTTGTGTTGCCTGGGGTGCTTTTGCCACACGGATTAGCGCTTACCATGCAAGGTGATCTCACCCGAACCGTGTCCTTTGGTGTGCTGCTTTGGCATTTGCCATTTAAAACAAAAAGCAGCTAAGTTCCGTGAAGAAGAGGAGGCGTAATAAACAAGTGCAAATTTTCTTGCAGTTGTTAAATTTCTACCTTTTCATAAATGATTAGTTTTCTGTAAATTTTTTCTTTGAAGAATGTTCATCTTTTCAATAAGGGATTTGTTAAAGGAAAACCCGCCAGTCCAAATGCTGTGACTTATGCAGGAAAGGAAGAACAAGAGAATTTGACAAAATGCACCCATTAAGAAATACCTCTCTGGGTATTTGGTGGTCTGAGCACCACTGCTGTGTAAGCTGCTGTAGAGCCACGCAGAAACCAGTGTCAGCAAATTTCAGGAGTTTGTCAGAGGGGAAAAAAAAAAAAAAAAAAAACAACACAATAAATGTTGTGGTTTGCTGCAGCCTATAAAAGCAGCAAATCCAGTGTCTGTTACCTGGCTGCTGCTGGAAGTGTTTCTCTTGGCTCTGAGAGCGTCTGTCGCATGGCTGGTGGCCCAGTGGTGTGGAGAGGTTTTGCGGTGGGTTTAGGCGGCAGGGATTAGTGAGCCCCCGTGCTCTCCCAGCACCCTTCCCCAGATGGTATCTCCTGCTGGTCCTTGCCCAGATCTGGGGTCAGGGAGGGGACCTGTGTGTTGGGGACGAAGCCAGCGAAGGGGAAGCGGGAGCTCACCTCTCTAGTACTGCTGTTAATTTTGTGGCAGCTGAAGTGAGGTGGATCTGGACAGGACTGGGGTGGGTAGGGAGCCCTGGTTTGAAGTGAAGTTTAGGTTTTTAGTTTCCCCACTCTCTGTTTTGCTCATTGCTGAAGTAAACAGCCAGATCTCACTACCTGTCGGTCCCACTTTCTTCTTTTCCTTTTGGAAAAGGTTACATTGGCAGTAAGACGCCCGTAAAGGAAAAGAGAATTAACTGTAATCCAAATTCTGACTTAAAAAGGGATCATGGGAGTCTTTGGCTCTGTACTGATGGTGCGCTACCTCATGCGTTGCTTCTGCAGCATCTTCCAGTAGGAGAACCCATTTGCCCCTTGCTGCATGGCTTTACTCCCACTGCTGCTGAGCAGGCCTGAGCACATTACCACAACTGATTTTCCTAGTATTTCTAAGTCCACGTAGCTGCTGTCAGATGACTAGAAGCTAGTTCGTACATAGCAATCACTGTTTGCATACACCAGGTAAAACTCCCCCATATGTCTTGTCCTCAGCTGGTATCCTCTGGAGGAAGAGTCTGACATCTGAGATTCATGTTAACTTTATGGCTTGTCTTCTTGCCTGTTCAATAACTTGTGATTTCCAAAGGAAACAAAAAAAAAAATACATATGTATATAGATTTTAAAATGTCTTCATTGAAGTCTGTGGTGCTTAACTGTTAATATACAGTGGATCACAGGATCAGGTCTGACATCCTGCATTGTTATAGCTGGTTTTTGATGCTGCATTCTCAGAGGTGCTTCATGTGTACTCTGAGAAGATAAAGTGTTCATGTTACATGTCTGGTTGCAGAAGTGATCTCTTACTGATGTTTTTCCAGATTCTGCTTTTGTTGCATGTGAATTTTGTAATGGTGACGGGTGCTTTCTAGTGTGTGATGGTGTGCAAATAAAATAGAGTATCACGTTTCTAGTCCCAGAGTGCTCACAGTCACATTCTTTCACATAAGTAAATATTGTCTTGTTTAAAATTGTACTATTTAGGAATACACTGTTGGATAACAGTCTTTGGCTGTCAAGCTCAACTCTTATTGTTTGCTTTTTCTCCACCTGCCTCCCCCCACCCCTTTTTTTTCTTTTTTCTTTTTTTTTTTTTAACCAAAACACCTTTGTTATCTAGCAAGAAGTTGAGAAGTTTACAGACCTAGAGAAACTCTACCTCTACCTTCAGCTGCCTTCTGGTCCCAACAATGGAGACAAAAGGTATGTGTGTTGAGTGTGTAAATGTGAGCAGCTAGTACTGAACAGTTACTTTACTTCCTGTGGCACTTATCTGCTGAGGAACCATTCACATGATGTGTTTGGTAGCAGAAGGAGCCTTTATTAGACATTAAGGACTCTTCCTGAAGATTGTGGGGGGTTTTTTTAACTTTTGCATCTTTAGTGCATGACTAGCTTGTAAATATAAACCTCCTAAAATGCAAGAGTCATCAGAGAAAGTGTTTTGCAGCCTAAGTATGATTGTTCCTTTGCTTTTTATGTAGGAAGTGATAATACAGCAACACAAATGTGGTGGGGGGGAAAAGAAGGAACTCCTGGTATTTCTGCCAACATTTGGTTGACTAAAGGAAGGTCTAGAAAAGCAACCTGCAGATCACAGCATCACAAAATTAGTCTGTGTTCCCAGTAGGATGGTTATAGCCAGACAGGTACTTAAGGGAAGCACTCTGAGCATCTGCTGGTGAAGTTGCGTGTTTCCAACGGGCAGCTGGCAAACTGAGTGGGCAAAAGCTTAGAGGTGGTCAGTAAGGAACAATAAATTTCAGAGGGGAAGTCGGTGAACTCTCACCCATCACTGTCTACTCATGGCTGTGTATCAGTCAAGAACTGGAGTGTGGAGTCTCTTTGTTAAATTGTAGATGAAAGAGGGAGATAACTGGTACCCATGCCTCGAGTAGCTAAATGTGTGAGATACTGGCCCTCGTTGTCTCTGGTGTCTCTCCACCTGTGGAGGCAGACAGTTATTAAGTCTTAGGAACTGAGGAGGAGCTATGGAGTGAAGTCTTCATCAGCACTGCTTCTTCTTTCACTAGCGATCAGATCTCCGTGTCGTCCAGTCGTACCCAGCAGATGCATGCCTTCTCATGGATACGGAACACCTTGGAAGAGCACCCTGAGACATCCCTTCCCAAGCAGGAAGTTTATGATGAATACAAGTGAGTGCTCCCAAACTGGATCCATACCTCTGGCTTTAGCGCGTGTAGATACGTACAAGGGCATAGATATGTAGCGTGCATACATGTACAAGGGCATATAGCAGAACAAGGCCATGTATGCTACTGGGCCTGAGAATGTACTAGCTACAGTAAGGCAAACTGTATTCATTATTTCTGCTACTGAAGATAAGACTGTGATGTTTAAATTGTACATTACATATGCTGAAGGAAAGGTACCAGTATTTCTTAACAAGTAGACATCTATATGCGTATTGTTTTTGTTTTGTGGACAGAGTGGCACGGGTGAAAAGCAACAGCTACTATCTTACAGTATGTTTTGGTCGGCTTGTATATATGTACCTATATGACTGCCTTAACAAGGATGAGGAGTTGAATTGTTCCTCCTGGAAATGCAGCTATTTCGCACATAAGATCTAGCCCATCACACCTTTCTTTCCACAATTGACTTGGTAATGTTAGGTTAATGGTTGGACTGGATGATTTTAAAGGTCTTTTCCAACCTAAACGATTCTGTGATTCTATAATAATGCATAAATATTGGTTCTTCCTGCAGTAAACCTGATTTCTACAGAGGCACAATATATCTGAATATGTATGAAACCAGTAACCAAGGCCACTGTGAGGCTGTGTTGTCAAGTCTCAAAGCTACCATGTAATGAGAAAGCGATTAGAAGCAAGGGAGAGGGAGCTGTCTGTCGGAAGTTGGATTTGAATTCATTTACAGAATGTTTCCCACAGGGGAGCGGGGGAATCATCCTCAGCCCAGTTGCTTGAAGATTAATAACAGATTTATGATCTAGTATGAATATTTCCATAATCTGAACGATTACAGTAATTTGCAGTGAGCTAAGTCCCTTCACCTCCTAAGTGCCTACAGGATTCAGCCTTTAGTAATTGTTGTTGCAGGGTTGCCTTCTGCGAATATCTCCTTTTAATTAACTCTTTCTGGTCAAGTCTTTTGCTCTGACTGAGCTGAAACATGATGGCATTCACTTGCCTGGGGTTGATAAACATGCACACACCTATTTCTGAAATCTCACCATCGACTGGAGCGGTGACGCAGCCTGGAAATATAGCCAATGGCACAGACATACTGGGGTGACCAATCCCCGAGCAGCAGCCACTCGCGCAGACACAGCAACAGTGGCAGCTGCTGTGCGGGAGAGAGATGGAAGCATTATTCTTAAATATATTTATTATTAAATAATTTATGGCCTGCTTCAGCAACAAATCTGCTTGGCTTCCATGCTGTGCCAAGCTGCAGATGCCCGGAAAAATCATTATCTACAGATTGTGGAGTGTGAAATTTGGATGGCTTTTGTATGTAGCTGCATCAAGTATTTGTGTATTGTATTTTTTTTCCTAATGAAATAAGGGTGGTAAGCAAATATTCAGGAAAATATCAAATGTTTGGAATCTGTTCTCCTTTGAAAGCATCTGTTCTGTTTTTAAAACATTCAGTTTCTTTGAATATTTTCATGAGTTATTCTTGCACACCAAAGGAAGAGTAGTCTTGGAGTGGGAGGTGGGGAACAGGCATATAAATAGACAAGAGAGTTAGTTTTGAGGAGTCATTTTTCTTTACCTAAGGGTGTTAAGACCTCTCAAAACTCACTTCTGCCCTATTAACAAATTACCATTTCTCTCCTCTATGTGCAAAGATAGATGTTGCATCAGCTCACAGTGAGCCAGCTTATGCACTCTGCATGTATAAATCAAAGTTACAAGGCTTCAGAAGAGTGCCGCATCATACCAGCATCTCAATTC